TATACCACGTGACCTCCAGGGTGGGTGTGTATTCACTTTTGAAGGAAGCATCTATCAGGATCCTATGATTAACTTAGATCCCATAGCTCCAGATTTGAACACACTAACCATCCCAGCAGAATCCCCTGTGTCAGTTAGCTGTTGTCAGAGTGTTGCTGTGTAACAAACGACTCCCAGACCCAGTGGCTTAGAATAACAGTAGTTTAATCTCAGGGATCTGCAGGTTGGTGGTAGCTCTGCTTCTGGCTGTGATAGCTGGGGGTCCACTGAGCTAGGCTGGGCTGGCTTGAGAGGGTCTCCTGTAAGCGGCACATGTGTAGACTTGGTTCCTTGCTCAGGTACTTTCCATGTGAGTTAATTCTGAGGCTCAGCTCCAAGGGGCAGTAGCTACCTGGGGGAGCTCTTTGGGTAGCAATGGCAGCGATATAGGAGGGCAAATACACTTCATACCCCTGTCTGTGTCAGTCTGCTACCATCCCATTGTCCAAAGCAAGCCACTTGGTTGAGCCCAAGGTCAAGGGGCAGGACTGCAAAGTCATGTGGCAAACAGCATAGATATGTAGTGGTGGTGGTGATGAAGAATGGATGCTAATAATTTAATCTACCACAGCTGCCCGCACAGTATGCTTGTAAATTAATGGGTGTATGCATCCACATGCAATTTATGGAGTTACTATTATTAAAAACTATAAAAGAATTATATGTACCTTGTAAAAATATAGAGTTGATATGCTGGTGGGAGAGTCAGACAATAAAAAAGAAAGAAAGATAAAAACAACTATGTAAAGGGATATTCCAATTTATTTAATTGACTCTGGACACATTGTAAGTCTCTTGGGACAGATTCAACATCTTTCTATAGTTAAAAAAGGTGTTCCCTTGTCCTTGAAGTTTCTTTAGCTCACAGAATTTGAAATCACATCTTATTCTTCTAAAGCAGTATTCCGTGCAACGTCGGGAGCTTGATGTCAGCTTTCTCACTGTTTAGGATAGTTAAAAAAGATGGGAAACCCACGCAAGTGAAGATGTTAGTTATGTTAGGGTGCTGTGAATATGGATGGTAGCGTTCTTCCTTTATATTTTCTCAATGCAGCTCTCCTAGGCCTGAGCATCTGATGAAGAACTTCAAGTGAATTAAAATCATAGCAAAATAGTCTTAGGCACTGTGGCACTCTCTCTTTCCACATCCAGTAGATTCTCTGGGATTGCTGGCAACTTCTAGAATAGTTAACCTTAGTGGCTTTGTTTCCTGATCTTGGTCGTCCCTGGTTCTGCTCTTTTACTCTGCCACCTTGTGGATTTTTGGGAAATTGCATCTTCTGCTGTGAGCCCTACTGACTCACTTAATCGATCTGGCCGCTGCCTTTCCTGGGAAGGTGGGGGATGGGAGGGTAGAAGAGAATTCTCCCCACCAGAGGAACATCACAACAAGGTGATGTTTTGAGTTTTTCCATAGTACTCCCCTCCCCCTTTGGAGCAATGTCCTCAGGGGCCCGGCTGATGGGCATCTGAATGGCCCTGCCAGTATCACACCTGAAGGGCCCTCCCCACTGGAGACCTGGAGCCAGCGTCCCAGGGTGGGATGCAGGCCCCTGACTTCCTCCAGTACTGCCTCTCCAGTTCACGAGAGGCCCCTCCTTTTTTCAAATTAGGAAAGTAATTGAATCTTACTTAGAGCTTAAGTCCAGTCAAGGAGACAGATTAAACAATATATACAAATAAAGACAATATTTACACATTGTGGTGAGTGCAATGAGATAGTAATGGTGGTGGGGGTAGGGAACTTGCATTAAGTAGGCTGGTAAAGGCAGGCTTGCCTGAGCAAGAGACATTTCAAATTGAAACCTGAAGGATGGGAAGGATCCAGTCATTAAAAGAGGGAGGAAGAGAATGTGCAAAGGTCCTGAGGTGGAAAAGAACTCATTAGTTTGAAAGTAACTAAGTGTGACTAGATTGGCGTGAGTTGGAGGGGAGTGATCTGAGTGGGGTTGGGAAAGGCAGCAGGCACAGGTAATACAGGTTCTTTTTTTTTTTTAATTTAATTTATTGGGGTGACATTGGTTTGGAAACGATACAGGTTTCAGGTGCACAACTCAACAAAACATCATCTGCACACAGCATCTTGTGCCCATCGCCCAAAGAAAGGTCTCTTTCAATCCAGGGTCTTGTGGGGCACAGTGAGGATTCTGATTTTGTGAGAAAATAAAGAAGGATTCTTTTCTATCTCTTCAAAATAGTCTTTATTCAACAACTGTAAGTAAATGTAATATACAAAGGAGATTGACTAGTAAACCTCATGCTGATAAATAAGCCATTTCAAACTTTAGCAAAAAACAAACATACGTACATTTGACTACCCTTGGTTACCGTTGCCTTCATTAGGTTTACTCACAAAATCAGTACAATACTGCCTCCTTATTGGCAGTTTTGCTTTCTGAGGTTAGTTACCTATGGCCAATAGCGGTCCAAATATATTAACTGGAAAATTCCAAAATGAACCAATTCATAACTTTTCTTATTTTTTAAACATGTAAGATTTATTTTTCTCATAAAAGTTTTTATTTTATTTTTCAATTATAGTTTGCATTTAACATTTTTTTGTGTTAGTTTCAGGAGTACAGCACAGCAGATAGACATTCATATAGGTTACAAAGTGAAGAATTCTTAAGCAGAGAAGTGATAAGGTCCAGTTTATATTTTATATTTCTATTTTAAGAAGATCCTCATTGCTGTTGCACGGTGAATGGACTGAAGTGAACAGGAAGGGAAGCTGGGAGAGCATTTGGGAGCTTGGTGCAGGAAGCTGGGTGAGAGGTAACAGTAGCCTAAACGTGGGTGTTGGCAATAGAGATGGAAGGGTCTAGCCCAGCCGGTGTGGCTCAGTGGTTGAGTGTCCACCTATGAAACAGGAGATCAAGGTTTGATTCCCGGTCAGGGTGTGCTTGATCCCCAGTAGGGGGTACGCAGGAGGCAGCCGAGCAATGATCTCTCATCATTGATGTTTCTATCTCTCTCTCCCTCTCCCTTCCTCTCTGAAATCAATAAAAATATTTTTTAAAAAAAGATGGAAGGGTCTAAACCAGCGGTTCTCAACCTGTGGGTCACGACCCCTTTGGGGGTCGAACGACCCTTTCACAGGGGTCGCCTAAGACCATCGGAAAACACATATATAATTTCATACTGTTTTTGTGATTAATCACTATGCTTTAATTATGTTCAATTTGTAACAATGAAATTGGGGGTCACCATAAGATGAGGAACTGTATTAAAGGGTCGAGGCATTAGGAAGGTGGAGAACCACTGGTCTAGACCCACGCTGGTCAGTGTGGTAGCAATGAGCCACATGTGGCGACTGAGCATGTGAAATATGTAAGTGTAGGATACATACCAGATTATGAAGACGTGGTACAAAAAAAAGTAAAATATCTCATTTATAATTTGTTGATCTTAATTACATGTTGAAATAAGAATATTTTGGATATTTCATGTGAAATAAAATATAATAGAAAAAGTTTCATGTGTTATTTTACTTAAAAAAATGTGGCTACTAGAAAAATGTGAACTACACATGTGGCTTACATCTGTGGATCACATTATGTTTTTATTGGACAGCATTGATATAAACAAAAGTTACTGAATGAAAAAAACACTTTATAGTAAAATTACATTGGACACTAGAAATTTCTAGTTAGGTCTAAGTTGTTTTTTCTGGTTCACAAAAGATGATGTACAGTTAGTGTTTGATCTAATCACAAGGAGCAAAAGAAATAAACAAGTTGACAATGTACATTAAAAAACCAAGATGTTTAATGTGACAAATATGTTTCTAAAATAAATCCCCTAAAATTCCTCAGTTATTGAAAACTGTATAAACACAGAAAAATGTTAATAGCGACAGAATACATAAAACCAAACATCTAATTTTGGGCAAATTAACATACGAGGCAACTTTGCTACCAATGTATGATTTTCTTTTTTCTTGCTTACAAGCTCTTCAGACTATCTTTATACCAACAGAGACGGCAGAACATTTGGGTTTCATATCAGTTACACAGCATTAGCATAAACTCAGACAGTACTGAGAGAGTTGTTTTCTTTTGAGCTGGCAAAGTAACCACTAAAACATCAGACCATTGCTGTGAATTGAGAATTTTATCCCAAATAAATGTCACATACTGTCCAGACATAGTTTTGTAATACATTTAATAACTCTTTTATGTGATATTGGTAGGCAATTTATTTTTAAAAAATGTTTTATTGATTTTTAGAGAGAGAGAGGAAGGGAGAGGGAAAGAGAGATAGAAACATCGATGAAAGAGAAACATCATCGATTGGCTGCCTTCTGCAACGCCCCCCAAGGATTGAGCCCATAACCCTGGCATGTGCCCTAACCAGGAATCAAACCAGTGACCTCTTGGTTCATGGATTGATGCTCAACCACTGAGCCACACCGGCTGGGCGGTAGGCAATTTAAATTTAAAAGGACTTTAGCTAATTGAGATTTTATTGTCTTTGAAAAAATAAATGGCATGGAATATGGCTAGTTACAGTCTTTTTTTTTTTTTTTTGTTAATATATTTTTTATTGATTTTCACAGAGAGGAAGGGAGAGATAGAGAGTTAGAAACATCGATGAGAGAGAAACATCGATCAGCTGCCTCCTGCACATCTCCCACTGGGGATGTGTCCGCAACCCAGGTACATGCCCTTGACCGGAATTGAACCTGGGACCTTTCAGTCCGCAGGCCAACGCTCTATCCACTGAGCCAAACCGATTCCGGCTAGTTACAGTCTTAATAGCAGAATATTGCATGAGGCTTTAAAGACAGAGAACTTGCCTCTATTTCAGCATCCATAATGTGTGCACTTGGATATGATTTCACCGGTCTGAACCTCACTTCCTTATTTGTGAAAGGGAGATGCAGAATGGCGAGTAGTACTAGCTGCCATGCGGCTCATCTCCCTCCCTCCTTCTAATCGCACCCCACAAGATAGGTACTGTTACTCCTTTTTACCGGAGGGGAAACTGAAGTTCAGGAAAGGTGACTTACCAAAGGTTACATTGCGAGAAAGAGGTGAGGCCAGGACACGAATCTTGGTCTTTCTGGCTCCAAAGTCAGCAAAAAAAAATTTTTTTTCATCCTCATGGTGCCCCTTGCTAATTTCCCTGCTTGCCTCTGAAATGACTGGTAAAGTCAAATTAGATTGGCAAATGGGCTTTGGAAAAAAATGCCATAAGATATGCAAATGTCAGAGATGATTCATTCTCAGCGAAACAGGCACATACCCTGAAGCTGCAGACGAAAACTCAAAACTCCTGGATGACGAACATAGATCTGTGTAAGTGACACGGATTTCGCATGTGGCTTTCTCGAATTCAAGCTCTGCAAGTCATGTTACGGAGGGATAACTTCCTGCCTCAGGATGAGCATTTAGAGGAACTCGGAGGGAGGTATTTTCGTGGTCGTATTAAAAACTCAGGGTCAGATGCACTTAGCATCACACGGTCAGCGCTGCTAGTCAAAGCGTAAACAAGCCTGAGGCCGGACACGGCTCCCTTCAAATAGGCTGGCTCCCGGGGATGCGGCTCATTCTGCAGCAGGCGGAGCGAGGAACAGGCAGGATGAAGAAATTATTTGTGTTTGCGCTCCTTCTCACCTTCCTGACCTTCTCAGGTGAGCATTCACTGCAAAAACGCAGCCTATTTCTAGGCGGACGTGATCAACTGAAATAAGTCTAGTTTATGTTTTTAAGGTATTTTTTTTCTTATTTCAAATAAGATGTGTATTTTTTGTATAAGTACATATTAATGTATAATAATTCAATGACTTGTTTTCCTAAGAGCAGGCTCCCAGCATTGGTATCCTTAGGGATACATTTTGTTTTAAATATTTAGATGTGTTTGAATACTAATTCTCAAAAACGCTGATAAATCTTGGAGTATGCCTTTTTTTAAAAAAAATATATTTTATTGATTTTTTACAGAGAGGAAGGGAGAGAGATAGAGAGTTAGAAACATCGATGAGAGAGAAACATCGACCAGCTGCCTCCTGCACACCTCCCACTGGGGATATGCCCGCAACCAAGGTACATGCCCTTGACCGGAATCGAACCCGGGACCTTTCAGTCCGCAGGCCGATGCTCTATCCACCGAGCCAAACCGGTTTCGGTGGAGTATGCCTTCTTTTAGCGTTCATACGAGATCACAAAATTCGGTAGACTTTTATTTGATGATGCCTTTTAGAGTTTGTGTGTGTTTATGAAAACATAATATAATTTTATTATCAAATATCTTCTTTGAGGGACCATGCGTGATGACCAAGTTGAACATAATCTTGTTGTCACGGGGTATATTCCAATAACAGCTTTAACTTGGTTTAGTGTATTGAGGATTAAAAAAAAAAAAATTCCACAAGGCAAACCTACAGGACGAGAAACACATGGACTGGAGAACTGGAGAAAATATGTCTTAAAAAACATGTAATTAACACCCACTTATGAAGGAACGGGCCATTGCAATCGGTAAAGATGTCTAAGCTTGCAGGGCTGGCTCTGAGGCAACCGTATTAGAAACCATTCAGAATTCCTCTCTGGGCCGCCTGGAATGCCAGGTCCCCTGGGACAGGCCCCTGTGAAAGAACTTTTGTGTTTTGACTGAAATTGAACTTGCTAATCATTTGCCTTGACTGTGAACTCGTGTGCCCTGAGAGTCCCTAAGGCCCTGTCCTGACTTTTCCAGGGGCCTCCCCGATTCTGACGGAAAAGGAGGCCAAACAGCTCCTGAGGTCCAGGCGCCAGGACAGGCCGAGCAAACCCGGGTTCCCCGACGAGCCCATGCGGGTGAGTGCTGGGCTCAGAAATGAAAATGGGTGCTGGTCCCAGCCCAGCGGGGTCTGCAGGATGGAGGTTCCTGTTAGTGGTTCCTCAACCTTCCTAATGCCGCGACCCCTTTAATACAGTTCCTCATGTTGTGGTGAACCCCCAACCATAAAATTATTTTCGTTGCTACTTCATAACTGTAATTTTGCTACTGTTATGAATGGTCGCGACCCACAGGTTGAGAACCGCTGTGACCCAGAGTCAGGTGTCAGGTGACCTCACCTTTCACTCTGGCCTCTCCTCCTCCGGAGGGGCCAGCTTCCTTGCCTGCTGCTCACACCGTATTTAAAATGCCAACAGTGGGCCCATGGCGGAGTCCCAGCATTCTGAGTAGCCTGCTGGGTGTCAGCTCTGAACCGGGTGCTAAAGAGCTGTGCCCCCTAGCAGGTGCCAACCCCATCTTCTCCCTCTTCCCTTGGGGTCTGGGTGGGCTGGACCACGGCGCCCTTGGCCAACGACAGCCTCGCTGGGCAGGCAGAAAGCTCTGCTCCAGCCGCCTGAGGGGCTCTGCCTTTACTTTGTGCCTCGGATTTTGGTCTTTGGCCTCAGCTCTGCCCTGTGGGTTTGTGGTGTCCGCCTGCCTGGTCTTTTGAAACAAGCCCCCCCCCCCCCCCCGCCCCCCACTACCTCCATCTCGTGATGGTGATCGTGGTGGATGTTTCTAGAACCTGCCACACTGGCCACAGGCCACTTCAGGCCTGGCTGGTCCTCCCTTCTGGTGGTAGAAATAATGACATTCCTGTTATTTGTGTCCCACCCAGGGGAGGGTAGAAGTCGCAGTGACAAAGTTAGCATGCCTGGGAAGCCGTGTCTGTGCCCAGGCTGGTCTCTTACCCGGTGCCCACTTCAGCTGGGCACTGGGCTCCCGGCTCACCCTCTTTTCATGGGTCTCCATGTGGAGGTCTAGAAGGATCTATAGCAGTGTTAACCTTCCCTGGCTGCAGAATCATGTGAATAATCCTGTTAGTTCATATAAGAGGCTCTTATTGAGATGCTGTGTCACAGTGATGAGGAGTGCTGACGCTCTGGGTTCAAATCTCCCTTCTGTAACTGTGACCTTGGGGATGTTTCCTCACATTTCTGCACCTCAGGACCCTCATCTACAAAACACTAATAATAAATATTATCACTTACATTATTACAATGATAACTAACAATGTAAAACAATTACTTTAGCCCCAGCGGGTTTGGCTTAGTGGATAGAACGTCGGCCTGCGGACTGAAGGGTCCTGGGTTCAATTTCAGTCAAGGGCACATGCCCGGGGTTGAGGGTTTGATTCTCAGTAGGGGGCATGAAGGAGGCAGCCCATCAATAATTCTCTCTCATCATTGGTGTTTCTATCTCTTTCTCCCTCTCCCTTCCTCTCTGAAATCAATACAAATATATTAAAAAAAATAAAACAATAAAACACTATTTTATGAGCTTAGTATAAAGTAATTCATACTAAGGCACTTAAAACAGTATTCAGCAAACAGTAATGACTCCGTGAGAATTAAGTAGCAGGGCCCAGGGGGTGCAGAGGCTGCAGACAGTGGCCTGGGCTTCTGTCAGAGTTGGTGGCAGACACAGGACTCAGCAAGTGGCTATTGTACGAAGTGGTTTCGAAACAAAGCAAGGACTCTGTGCTGTTAGGGGTGGACATGGCTGTTTCCTTTGGTTGAAGAAATCTGAGTTGTCTCGGAATATCCAGGCGCAGGGAGGAAGGGCACTGGGAGGGGGGCAGGAGGGGAAATTAGAATTGCAAGGCCAAGCAGGATCCCAGTGAGTTGGACTTTGTCTTGTGTGCAGTGGAGGATGTTGGAGGATTTTTCAGTTGGGGGAGTGCAGATTGGGGCTTTAGACACACGGTTTGGGAAGCAATTAGAAAGAAGAGACCCCGGATTGAAGTCTGAGAACACAATGCTCAGAGGTGGGGTGGGGAAGAGGAACCTCAAGGGGCTGCGAAGGAATTTGGGGAGATTTAGGAGGAACCAAGAAAGGGTGGTGTCAAGCATGGGAAGAGGGCTCGGAGGGGGGCAGGCATGGGCGTGGGCAGGATGCCTGGCTTGAGGCTCCCTGGGGCTCCAACTGGCAAAGGCAGGAAGGTGTGGTTCTTTGTGAATCAAGGAGCCTTAGGCTCCTAACTCCTTGGTCCCTGTGGCGTAGGACACAAGCCCTCGTGACAGTTCTATCTGCCAGCCCCCACCTCCCGTCTTCCACTTTTGACCTTGACTCTGGTATCTGGGCTCCATGGAAGGACAGTGGTGGCCACAGAGGTCCTCTGAGAGCCAGGTTGGAAGGCCGGGCTGGCACGGCGGAGCTGACCTGCCTTCTGTGCTCGGGGACCTGTCACAGGACTCTGAGCAGAGAATATGATTGGAGGTGGTTTTCAGGAGCCTTTGGAGTCTCAGGACACAGCCTCTGAAACACCGCCTTCGCATTTCCATTCAGGGAAATGGGACATGACATTTTTGGACGAGCTGTTGCACCTCCTTGCCATGGTAGCCAGGAGACAGACAGGTGGGCTGGGACAAGTAACGCAGAGGAGTGATCGCTGGGGACGGCGTGTGCCCTTGGGAGCTGAGTCCGGAGACTCGTGTGCTCACCACTAACTTGAAATTACCAAGAGATGACTAGTTGGGTTATTCTATTTTGCTTCTTCCCTCTGAGGGACTGTGCAAAACAAAACCCTTTTTGAGAGGAAGAGGCCGCTGATGAGGGTGAACGAACCGTGCTTTGGGGAGGTACCAGGAATTAATTCAAAAGGAAGACCAGTGTGAAGATTTGCAGTAGTCTCTCCCCAAGAGTAGCTGCTAAGCTGTGTTTATCATGTTGACACTTGGCGTAAATGTTGGCAGATGTTGGTTCTGAGGGATGGTAGGGTTTCCGGAAGCAGGTTCAGGGTTAGGACTGGTTGGACCAGATGTATTTCACTGATTCACTGCAGCAGGCGCTCTTTTCTGACCGTGTGGTGGGAAGGACAGAATGCTATGGGACAGATCATGGGGTGCCCTGCATTTGGGACGGGCTGGCTTGCACCCAGAGGAGTATGAGCATCAGGTTGGCACCCTTGATGGAGGAAGGGAAGGCTGCAGTGGGGGTGGGGAGAGAAACCAATGGGGAGACATGATCAGGGGAAGAAAGCAGGAGGGGTTTTGAATGTATGAAAGCAGCTGGGAGGAAGAGCCCGGAGGTCCAGTGGTGGGGGATGAGAGGAGGGGTCAGAGAGAGAAAGAGGCAGGTGGGAGGGTAGGCGCTCAGAGGCACACCGCTGAGAAATTCCTGGTGGTAGGAAGCAGCTGATCCATTGATTTTATGGCAACGCCTGACATTGAGTTTGCGGTTGTTTTCTGCTTTGTGCCATTATTATCCCATGCAACCCCCAAATCTTAGGAAAAGTCTGCTAGATGCAGCAACCTGTGTTAGTGGTTCTTTGGAGGAACGAGAGGTGGTCGGTGTGTGTGGGTGAAGGTGGCTGACGAAAGACGAAGGAAATCACTCGAGTCTGGAAGCTATGGTGGTGGAGAAACGGGCTATGAGAAGAATTCAGGAGAAACATGGCCCCCAAATCTTCAGAGATTTTGGGGACTAGGGGTCTAGACATCACAGGAATGGGATGGGCCCTTCTGGAAGACTGGGATAGTCCATGGGGACATCCCATCTGGGGACATGTAGGGTTCAGCTCAGTTGACTTCAGGTTCTGATTTAGGACTTACTACATTGGTTTCATGAAGACATTGTGTATAATGAAACCTCAAGATTCTAACAGAGGGAAAAACATTGCCTGGGGAAAAATTGATGAAGACAGCTGCGTGGAAAGAAGGGCTGGGTGTGTGTTTAGAGGGAGGAAGGTGGAAAAATATTCTGAGCTTTCCCTGAACATTTTCTCAGTCATGACTGCGCTTATGTTTAATTTTCAGAATTTTAGTCAAACTCTTGCTATTTCAAATGTGGTCCCAGCCCAGAACTCTGGGCAATGTATGCTCCGGTCATCCAGAACTTCTCACTGGTTTTCAACTAGGCCCTCCTCTCTCTGCTCAGCATCTTCTGTCTCTGATCTCAGCATCTTTTCACAAATGATTCCCTTTTGTAAAAAAATATTTTTTGATTGATTTCAGAGAGAAAGGGAGGAGAGAGAGATAGAAACATCAATGATGAGAGAGTATCATTGATTGGCTGCCTCTTGCACACCTCACACTGAGGATCGAGCCCGAAACCCAGGCAGGTGCCCTGACTGGAGATCGAACTGTGACCTCCTGGTTCCTAGGTTGATGCTCAACTACTGAGCCACGCTAGCCGGCCAGGCCACAAATGATTCCCTTTGCTTGCAACACATTTTCCCATTAGTTCTTCCTCTTCATTCTCAATGTCACCTTCTCTCTCTCCCTGGCCTCCTAATACTCACACACAAAACAATACTATATATTTTATAGGTACATCTGTATAGTTGTACATGTCTAGAAAAAGGTCTAGAAATATGATTAGTTGAATGTTAAGTGTATCATCACATTGAGTTGACAAGGATCACTGGCGGCGATCTAGGGAACTATATTTGGTGTTTGAATTCTAAGCAACAATAATATGTTCATGTACTAGTTGTACAATTACAAATAATAAAAATTCAATCCATTTGTATTTATTATAGAAAAATTGCGAATGAAGAAGGAGTCAAAAGAAGAAAAGAAAGTCAGATGTAATCTTGTTCCCTCTCCTCAAAGACAGCCTCACCATTTTTGATGTATTTCTGTTTAGGTTTTTGGCATATATTTTTAAAAAGTGTGACCATACTCTACCATTTTGTATCTTGGTTTTTCTCTATAAGATACACACTTTCTCATATTATTATAAACTCTTTATACCATAATGATACTGAATTACCCTCTTTTGTTAGGTAGTTGGATCATTTCTACTACTTTTCTGTTATAAACAACATTAGAAGCCTGGTGCACGAATTCGTGCGCGGGTGGGGTCCAGCTGGTCT